CGTTTGTTTGTTCATACATTTTATGTAATCTTTATCAATGTTTGTTCATTTCTATTCATGCTTTTTCATTCCCAGTTTCTCTTACAAGATACTTTTTGTATTATTTTTAACTCGCGGGGACTCAAACGGTCTTAATTATTTCGGGTTTTAATTTAGGAACCGTCCGCAACCAGTACGAGGTTGTATCGATCTAATTGCGAAAGGGTATTTATTTTAAATGGTTTAATAAAGACATTTTAGCAAAATATATCCAGCCCTACAATTAAAAAAAAATATATTTTATTTAAAAATATGAATCATTATTTGTTAAACATTTAAAATTAATGTAGAAAAAGTTAATAATGCAAATATTTAACAAATTTTAAAAAAATTATTATAAATTATGCATCGGCTATTATTCTTATTACGTACTGTATGTGGTATAATCTACAATTAGTGCTTTCAAAAAAATGTTTTAGAAGTCACAGGGTTTTTTGTGTTCGCTTTTGAATGTGAAAATACAATTTTCTAGGAAGAATAACTATTTAGAGAAATCAACAATCTCTATTAGACCAGGCGATAGAGCAGTAAAAGTAGGCTTTGGCGTTTGTGTTTGAAGTCATCTATTTTATTGTACAGAAAAATCCAAAATATTATGTAGAATAAGAATCCGAGTTTGCCTATTCCAACAAACCATTGCTAAATTCAGGGGAACAACAAACATACAAAAAGAACGAAAAATTACCCGTTTTTCAACATATTTTTCCTTGTAACATTGAAAGTAAGCCCTAAATAACAAAAGTCATTCTTTATTTTTTGTTTATTTGACGGTTTTCTATAAAGTAACAACTGCAAATCAAAAAAGTTGAATTTTACATTAACAATGGACGAAAAATAGTACAAAATCATGTATATTTAGTTTCATCAATTTCATCATTTACTTATTTTAAAAATTGTTTCAAATATACATATGACTTTCTACTATTCTTCGCTCATTGTTATTCAACTTTTTTATTCGTTGTAACTTTATAGAAAATCGTCAAATAAACAAAAAATAAAGAATGACTTTTTTTATTTAGGGCTTATTTTCAATGTTACAGGGAAAAGTATGTCGAAAAACGGGTGATTTTTCGTTATTTTTTTAAGTTTGTTATTCCCCTGAATTTAGCAATGGTTTTTTGGAATAGGCAAACTCGGATTCTTATTCTACATAATATTTGTGATTTTTCTGTACCTACAACAAAATAGAAGACTTCAAATAAAAACGCCTCGAATGTCTACCACTTGACTATGGTACAGTAAAAGTGATGGACAATTATTTCTTTTTACAATATTCACATTAAAATTTAATTGAATGTACAGGGTGTCGGGAGGCGAATGGACCTTACTTCACGGGTATTGGACAAAAATAAAATTGGTACAATGTTGCGTTCTTAAAGAGTTATATACCTACATACATATATTCAAAAAATGTTCATTTCATTCTTTTAAAATAGATTTTTTGTGATATTTCAATGACATTTTATATAAACAGATTTTTGGGGAAGCCAAGAATGAAAACTTGTATTTCACCTAAAGCATAGAGTTCGCCAAAAATAAGTGTGGGTGATTTATATGTCATTCAACTGACGAATAATCAATGACGATGTTCAATTGAGGGTGTACGCTGGACAGAGCTTTAGTACGCATAGTAGTTGTTCCCTACATTATCATTTGTAAACGCTGCTAAGAATAGATGTAACGGGGTAAATTAAAGTCCTTTCTAATTCAGTATAAAATTGTTTTATTTTCTTTCTCATTAGTTTCAGTTATTAAGCCATAATCAGGGAAGAAGGATTGTATCAGGCTACAAATTTTGCAAAAAGATCAAGTTTACTAAAACTAAAATGCATCCAAAACTTCAGCTGCTTGAAATGACAACGACAGTAGAAAATAATGACATCAAAAGTACATTTTTGGCAAAAAAAACCAAAATTTATTTCAGGTATATTTACCGACGTCTGTTTTTGGTAAAGAAATAAACCCATATCCATTTTCGGCTAGCCAAAAACAATAAAATCATGAAATAAATAAAATCAAAATTTTGTAACCCTCCCAACTTTTCTTGGAAACAACATAGAAATAAAAAGTACTATTAACTTGATCTAAATTGGTTTATTTTCATCCAAAGAAGTACTCTGAAGTATAGTCATAGTCCATTCGCTTCCGGAGATTTTATATACGAGAAATGTTATTTTATTTCAGGACAGATCTACTTAAATATACCATTTTAATCACGTATTTAATTAAATACTCAAAAAAAAATTACTTTTGGGTCTTGTAAGGGATTCTATTTTCTTTTGGTTGCAATGAATGTTTCCAGCTCTTTACTGTCGCTCTATCATTTGTACATTTATCATATTCATGTTATCTTTTCCTAATTATGTATGTAAACACAATGATATTAAATTATAAACATCAAGCAAATACCTCCTGCTATAAACAAAGTTTTAATAAATTCTTCATTGTGTACTCGTAGGAATTACAAATTTCAGTATGAATTGTTTGAAAAATAAGACAGATAAACGTTCTATTACGATATGGTGTATTTCTTTCAGTGTAACACAAAAACTACAAAATAAAAAAGATAACTAGTTAACTTCAATAGAATTAGACAACCATTTTTCAAAAAAGATTGCATTAATTACTTAATAGTTATATTTGCTTGATGTGTCTAAAGTCTATTCTTATATGAAACAAAGATAAACACCATAGGAACACGTTGCTACAAGATCTTTGATGTATAATATGACGGCTCGGCCGATATGTCCTTCCTCTGTCTACGTGTCATTTAGCCACCTAATCACCTTTGACCTTTGTACGACCTATATCCTTCACACCTTTCAGTTACCTCTACTTGCATTTTTTGCATTTTGACAGAATCACTACACACATCTGTATTGAAATGGCTGGCCTGGAACCGCGATATATTCATATCTGTCGACGTAGGAATCACGTTTTATTCCCAACAAGGACTGTTGGCATTATTAGATAAACATGGTACTGGAAAAACTTGTACGAGCACGCTCCTTGTTCGGAAAATTCAATTTCGTTGACGTGATATTTTTTTTAAATGTTTCTCTTATCTAGGTACAACAAAAGGTTGATAATGCACCACATAATAAAATAATGACTTATTTTTAAATACTATTTTGTGAAATGTAAACAAGGTAGACTCTCAAGTTGCTTAAGTAAGACATTTTTAGGATAAGTTGCGTTATACACTAAGAAAACAAGTATAAAATGTATAAAATTTCTATTTATCTTTCAATATTTGTTCTAGTTTCAACTTGACATGTTTTTTCAAAATGTTGTTTATTTATATCATTCTTGATAATATAAACTTCTTAAATTTATTTGATTTTCTCTTTGAAACAAAATTATGGAAATTATTCACTTATTCTTTACAGAAATGTTTAAGGATGTGTATTTAACAGCAAGTATTTGATGTTTCTTTTTTTTTAGGAAAGTTAAATTAAAAGAACGTGACATTTCTTTACAACACTTTTATTTGCAAACAATTTTTGATGTATACATGCACTATTCCGAATGGCTAAGGCACTGTTCAGACCCGTCGATCTTCCCACATGAATATATCGTCGTCTCCAAGGTCAGAAAGTTAAAGAAATACCACGTAAATTAGATGTCATAGATGATGGATGTTATACATTAAAAAAAAAATTAATATATCGTAGTGATGATAAGTTGCCTGCACAAAAACGCTGCGAAAATGCACGGAAACGGTGCCGCTTTTGATGATTCCCCGGCTGAACCGTACATTTTCGCAACAACAATATATATACGCAGCTTAATTCAGCTTTGGTGACCAGTGCTGACAATGTGCATGGATATATTTTTGATTAAATTGTTATTCAGGTATATTCGTAATAATATCTCGCACATATATATATATATATATAGCTCCGAACTCTTTCGAACGGACAAAACTCAGTGTACCGTTTAATTAAACAGTTTCATTTTAATTTAAAAAAGTCTAATTAAAACTGAAAGGGTTTATATACAGTGCCGGGAGATTTATTACCTTCCAAAACGTGAAAAAAATAAAATAAAAATAAATTGTTGCATATGTGGCTTTACGATTTTTTAGTACATTTATTAAAGCTGGTTTGGCAAAAATTACAGCTTCGTTGCATATAAATAAAGCAAGTAGTTTCTGTATTGTGAATATAAAACCACAAACTCAAAACAAATAAATCAGGAGTTCAAAGATGTTATTGTGCCTATGTTTCGTTTTGAATTAAAATTGAAGAGATGTTTTGACAAAGTATTATAAGCTCTAAAAAGTAGGTATACGGTGCTGACTAAGCTCGATTACAAAGCTTACTATGGTAAAATTGAAATGAATAAATCAAACCCCTAGTGATAAACAAAAGAAAATTGAAGGAACACTCGGAAAAATGGACTGCAGTGATAAAAACTAATAAATGTAACATCAAATATATTTACTTTTTCGTCTAAAAACTATAAAAATAGGTCTCTTCTTGTCTTAGGATTGTTGCCTGCATTGTAATCCAGAAAAGTTCAGCACTGTATAGAATTAAATATGCTTTTAGTCTCAATCACTTCCCCGCGCGACAAAACGTCGCTTCGTGTGAGACAGGCTTTACTAACAATAAGCTTGAATATCTATTAACAATCAAATACGTTTCAAAATTCCATTCTTTATTAACACAATTGCCAAACCACCGTTTTTCAATCAAAAGAAACCTTTCAAAATTGTTCTGTATAATTTCTATATATTTGTGCAACTAGATCAGAATAAACATTAACATGCGACATATCAAATCGAACTCGGTGAAAAGCCACTGTAAATATCGAACAATTCCACACACACCATACACATACAACCGCATTGCAAATAGCGAACAGATCTTTGGTAATCCCGACGATTGTGTTCGTTGAACTTGAAGCGATTCGAAGTGTAGCCATTGAGGAATTTCTAATTAATATATATTAATCAGTCGAGTTGCAGTTATGAGAGGCCAAGTGGTGACGCCCCAGGGACTCGGAATTGTAGGCATCAGAGTGGCGGTGGACAAAGAGTCAAGGTTCGGATTCACCCTCACCAGGCAGGGAGGATGGTAAGTTGATTTGGGTAGTTGAATTAGCAGGTGTAGCTGTAAGTGTATGTAAATCGTATCTGCATTTATTTGCGCGACGGGAAATCGTTGGTAAAGTTCTAAGGATACGGGATAGACACATGATAGTGACTATACAGGATGTTCCACCAGGAATCGCCACTATCGATATCTCAGAAGGTACTGATCAGGATTATTTTAATTTGTTTGTTATTTATGGAAGACCCTATTACTTAAATATTGATTGCCCTGGCAAATTGAAATTCCTGAATTCCCGAAAGATTGTCAGATTAAAATCGTAGATAATTTTATAATACAAAGGACAAGAACGAAATAAAATGATTCAAAGGAGAGTAAAACTGTAGGATTTAGCTCAAAAATTGTCTCATTTTTTTGTGACAAAACAAAATAATATCGTTAAGACCGCATACTAATGACCTACCCCACGCTAATAATATGTCCAATGTGCCCCACCTCAAAAAACAGACTCTCGAGGCAGATAAGCTTACACATGTAAGATAAGGACAAACAATACGTCGTCCAAGTTTAGTGGTGCTACTTTTACAAATATAATTTTGTAAAGAACCGGCCGTTTTTGACACTAACTACTAAAAAACTATTGTAAACACTATAGCAACGACGATTGTAAAATCGGATTTCACTATTCGGAGTTGCTGAAGTCAGGTGGCTCTCCACGCGTATTGCGAATGACGCTAGAGACTACAGTTGTCCAGCGATGTAATGCTTGAAAGTACTACAACTTCAATAATTTTTTTCTCGGAAACTAACATTTTTTTACGATATTGACTCTATTTCTCATGCTGCATCTGTTCCCTAATTTTTTTGGATACGTTGTGAATCACCTTGTAATTTTAGATTAAAAAATTTGAAATTAAATAAAGAATAAAACTAAACATAAAGTTGTTCAAGCCATCAGCAATACCACAAACACAATTCGTGAGCAACGTAATAACTGTGATCGCATAAACGGTCGGTGATTAGAACTTTGTCTCGAATATGATGGACAAACCTTCGAACATTTTTACTAAGAGTGACTATGTCATATAATTTTAAGCAAATGATATCCATGGGCGGCGCATACATAATTTAACGCATATTCCAACAAATTAATCATGTAAAAAGGCGCAATTCTCGCGCGTTCTTCGAAACTCGACTGCAATTTCCCGGCACCTAACTGCGTTCTAATTGAGCCCACCTGAGCTTCCCGGAGCTCTCCTAATAATTAAGGAAACGGGACCCGGCGCGAGGATCTTATATCCGTAGCTCCACGGTGCAGCTCGAATAAACAAAACCCCGGGATCGGGTAACATGCGAAAATAACAAAGTAGCTTAATTAGAACGGAATAGCGTGTCTAATTTGGGTGCGGCCACATCAAAGACGGCAAATCCACTAATTTTCCTCCGCTTACTGCCTCTCATTACATCGGGGATACATTTATCTTGCCAATCTCGGCGTCTGATGGGAAATATGGTCATTTGTTGGGTACTGAGGATCGGAAGGCAAGTAACTAATTATCAGCAACACGGCTGTAACTACCTCCACGGGGATATTCCCAAGTTTAAAGGATATTGTTTACTGGAAGAAGCACAATACTTAATTTGTAGCAGAGGGGTCACTAATCTCAACTTCACTTTTAATTTATAATTAATTTGAATAATTATTGTTAATATGTAGGGCTGTCAGAACTGAGCTACGGGACATAGGCGCACCCATTTATTAAAAAGTAACAAATTAAATTGTCGACAATACACCACCATAAACACCAACGAATAGGAATTAATTACTTAATATCCGCACGATAACAAAGGCAACAGTATACTAACGTGACGTGAACGTGAAAAGCGACTCACGCATGTCTCGGTTGACCCGCTTGGCGGCTCTCTGACAGAATAAGTAAGATCCTTACGGTGACTAATAAAAACATTCGATCAACTTTTTGTAACTAATTTCATAATGAAATTATTGCAATTGTATTTTTTTCGTAGGTTCGACGTTTTGGTAAACGGGGGCGGCGCTGTGACGTTGCAATTTCAAAGGTCGCCGTTTATACCGACTACGGTAACGGTCTTCGTTCCTTGGAATCAAATAATAGTGCTACCCCCTGTCCACATGCAACTGAGCGACGACGCCGACATTGGTCATGTCCAAAAGAGGTAACGAATCAGTTTTCTACTTAGTATTTGTAATTGGTTATTTTAAATAAAAGAAGAGTTATGAAATTAAAAGTTGAAGTTCTATGGTATAGAATCTATATCAAAATCATGGCATGCCATGTCTGAAAGAGATTAAGAACCCTGATATTAGCCAAATAAAAAACGGCTTATTAGTTATTAATCTGCGTAAGAAATTTTATACTATTCTAATACTCTAGCTCACTTTGGGCTGTTAAAAAAAGAAGGGAAATCGGAGAGTCAATATGTTTACGACAATGACGCCATCTGTGAATTTCCCCACACATTAACGCTGAAAAAAACATTCCAAGAGGCCGTTAGATCGCGCTGTAACTTTTGCCATAATATAATATTAAATTAAACGCTCTTATTAGTTTTCACTATAGTTTTAATCATGTTCTGCATTAAGAGAATCTGATAAATGTATGAATAATGTTCGCCTGCTTAAAACTCCGATTGTTAATAACGATATTTACCATTACGGGCGCCGTTTCCGAACCTGCAATAATTACATATTAAACGTCTTGCAGCTTCCTGGCGAGGAACCCCGCCATAAACTTCCCGGGTGTATCGCGGTCGTTCTTCGGCCCCAACGGGGCCGTGCCGAACTCCTGCGACGATCACGACCCCGAACTCCTAAGCCCGGTCATAACCGGAACCTGGATGCCGGAAGCCGTCGGCGGGATGCAGGGTAGGAGCGTGGTGTTCGCCGAAACACAAATTATACAGGAGTCCATCCCGATACCTGGATCCGACCTGCATATTTTATACCAAAGTTCGCAAGCCACCGGCTACTTAAGCACAATATTTATGAGGCTGACGGGGGCCCAGATACCGAACACATTAACTCACGTATACGTCAGGGTGGAAATAGAAGGGTCGCTACACGTGAAGACCTACGAGGCGGACCCCAACCTGGTGCACACGTTCGCTTGGAACAAGCGGAACGTCTACAAGCAGAAGGTCTACGGGATAGTCCAGGCGAAGGTGTCGATAGGGTACCAGCACAGCACCTGCCTGGAACCGGTGTGGGAGACCCAGACGGCGGACATCAAGGGCTTCGACGTGGACATCTCCGACGTGGGCGGTTGGGGGCTGGACATACACCACCACTACAACTTCCACGAGGGTATTCTGCAGAAGGGCGACGGTTCCACTTTGCATTTCAAGCAGTATCCGCGTATGGTGCGGGTTATCATGGGGACGGGACTCCAGAGGTCGCTGAATTGCCCAGGGCAGTGCGGGGGTCCGGCCAAAGATGCCAAGCTGTTGACGCCGGGGTCGCTGGCCACGGGGCCCGATGGTAGTATTTATGTAGGCGATTTCAATTTGGTTAGGAGGATCACGCCCGAGGGAAATGTCTACACGGTGCTACAATTAAGGTAAGGCTGAACCGCAAATAATGATAAGATGTATTTATAACTGCGGTTATATTTTTGTAAGTTTATCGAAATTTTGAGAATGAATTAGACTTTGACGTTTAGCAGTATTTGCAATTACGTATCTTAATAACATTTAATTATAACATTACCAAAAAATAGCTCCTTAAAAAATGCCAAAATGCCCGAATTTTATTTTTTTTTAATTTAAGGAAAAAATAAAAACTTAATCTTTCGCTTCCCATTTCAAGGGATATAAATCCGTAGGTAGGAAGCGATACATTTTTTTACATGAAAGACTTTCTTTTATTTTCGATCGAAATCTCTTCCTTAATTTTTTCGTACTTACTATTATTTACGATTGGATATAGGTACTCGGTATAGTAATATATTTTATTTTTTTGAATAAAATAGTGAAAAACAACAAATAAATAAAACGTCTTTTAAATACGAGAGTTCCAAATGCAAGTGTTAATATAAGAAATTATTTTTTACTTTTTAACATGCTGTTTTTGATAAAAATTTCAATTTATGCAAAAAATAGTCTATCGTTTAAATAATACAATTTTTCGCGCACTAATCTTGCACCTACTAACGTTTTTTAGAGCCACCCAAGTTGCATATCAGTATTATCTCGCCATATCACCTGCCGACGGACATCTTTACGTTTCCGATCCGGAAAAACACCAAATACTAAGGGTATTATCCTTGGAACCCGTGCAGGATCCTAGCATCAACAGCGAACCGGTAAGTTTTACATGTTTATGTATGTAGGATAAAAATGTATCCCCTGTAAATGTTTGAGGACCACTGGCTCCGATCAAGCGATTCCTAAACCGTATTTCAAGGATAAAATTCAAAGATCCATAAAAAAAATTCGCTTAGTCTTGAAAATAAGATCATTTTTTCCAAGTAATGTCGAGAGTATAATGTTTCAAAACGAAAGCATTGGTTTAAATAAAAAAATTCAGATAAAGTACCTAAATCAAATAAAGTCCGACATCTAATAAGGAGTCCAAGTTAACAATAAAAGCGCCATCTTTTAAAACAATTGAAAAGTGTCAAAAACTGACAGTTTCTGTTTTTTTTTTACTTGACTTTATTTCGAATCGGAAGTTTAAATTCATTCAAAATAAACGGATTAATTTAGAATTTTGTTAATAATAATTTCTTTATTTCTTGAGAAATCTAACAACTATTTTTAATTTTGATGATCAGAATAAGTATAAAAATTAAAAATCGATCTAAGCAGCGAGTATTTGGTATTCAGAAAAAAACTTTTTTTTCTAGAATAATAACAGCCACACAAAAAAAGAAAAGTAGTCTATACTTTTCATGCGACACAGGTTATCCGTAGTATTTTTGCCTCCTGATCACGAATCCGGTGTCAGAATTGAGCTATCACATCACAGGAATTTCCTAACCTCAAAAAACAGGTCAAAATAGCAAAAATTCACGAAAAAGTGCTAGGAAAGCTAGAATTTTTCTTTTCTATATTCAAATATTCATTTATATAGTTATGACCTCGCCGAACGTGAATTAGCGGTCAGAATTGATGGTTCTTTTTCTAACCTCAAAAAAACTGCTCAATTAAGGTCAGATATCACGAATTTTCAAAAAGTAATAAATTCGCGCCAAATTTGGTATACGGGGGTTTTCGGGGTCACTGATCACGAATTCGAGGTCAATTTTGCAAAATTCAAGATGGCGGCCGACCAAATTTTCAAAAAATAACACATTCGCGACAAATTTGGTATACGGGGGTTTTCGAGGTCACTGATCATGAATAGGAGATCAGATTTACAAAATTCAACCCGTGAATAGATCTTTTACAGAAAAAAGAACAAGATATAGCCGAAAAAAGTAGAATAACACATGATTGGGTACTCAGGTTATAAAGTAAAATATTACAAAATGAGTTTCGCAATTCTGACCTCGAATGCGTAATCAGCGGCAAAAATACTACAGATAACATTATGTCGCATGAAAAGTACAGACTACTTATCTTTTTTGTGTGGCTGTGTAATTGTACAAATTCCAGTTTAATTAGAAAAATTCACTGATGTTTCCAGATTTATAAAATTTCCTGACTATTCCAGATTAAATTTTTAGTAATTTCGTAAGGTGTATTTATACCTTTTTTTCTGTTGATACATTCAGATTAATGTCTTAGTGCTTTCATAAACACTTAAAATTTAGTGAACACTATTGTTTAAAATTAATAAGAGCTTTATTTGGGTGCCTTGCTTTAGCATACTGCTTTAAAAAAGCCGCCCCAAAGGAACAATTTTGAGAAAATTGGAGTCGTATATGTTTTATATCCAATAACAACACGAAGTACGTAAAACTAAGTTAAAAAATTCGACGACACCCCGCCTCATTGCGTTACGGCGTCCAAATCGCCCCAAACGAACACGTATTCTTGGCGATTCCGCCTTGTATTAGCATATTCATTTTCCAGATCGTCGGCAACGGAGAACGCTGCATCCCCGGCGACGACAGTGCATGCGGGGATGAGGGTCCGGCTAAATACGCCCGGCTGGCGCATCCCAAGGGCATCGCGATAGCAGTGGATGGAACTATGTATATCGCCGACGGCACTAATATAAGGGCTGTCGACCCTAAGGGCATTATTCACACTTTGATTGGTAATCATGGCCATCACAATCATTGGACCCCCATTCCTTGCAGAGGAGCGATATCGGCTAGTCAGGTAATTGCTTCGAGTCGATCAGTTTTGGGGAACTACTTTGAGAGAAAGGGGGAGCGACTCGTACAAGTAACACTTGCAATTAAAGTGCCGCCGCTAAATAAAATGAAGCGGAAATTTAATTTTTCTTAAATTCGGTCAAAAGGTAACATTTTTCTGGTGGGAAACAAAAATACGTACCAAGGGGTCTACCGTAAGTGCTTTATCCGTTATTCTTCTAAAAAAAAGACGCGTAAGAATAAAAATTTCAGGGTAGGCTTTTAAAGCTGTCTCATATCTTTAGAAAAAATGAATGTCGTATTAGTGAGACAAACCCTAATTATGTACTGTCTTTTAACGAAATTGAATTTTAGGCGCAACTACAGTGGCCCACGGGCCTAGCCCTCAGTCCCCTGGACGGCTCGCTTCACCTAATCGACGACCGCCTGGTACTGAAATTAACCGCCGACATGAAAATAAAGGTGGTCGCCGGCATTCCCTTACACTGCCACAGAGAAGACAACAACACGAGGATAACGAACGATAAAATCCTAGGAACCGTACTAGCCCTAACGTTCGCTCCAAACGGCGACCTCTACATAGCAGAATCGGACACCCACAGCGTCTACTACATAAGGCTGATCGACACGTCCGGAAAAATCATACACTTCGCCGGAAAACTCCAAGACAAATCCAAAAAGAACTGCGAATGTGCGTACAACATCACCACGGCTAGTCCAAACGAAAGACCCCAAGAACTCCCGCCCGCCTGCCTGTGCGGATCGACCGAGGAGACCACCAGCAACGCGGAAACTTTATTATCCTCCAACGCGCGTTTCCAGGCCATTTCGGCCCTGGCCGTCTCACCTGGTGGCGTCCTACACGTCGCGGACCAGGGATCTTTACATATACTTTCCCTGGAACACTACCTGCCGACGCACGACGAGAACGGGGAGTTCAGGATCCCGTATCCGCCCGCTGGGGAGGTCTACGTGTTCAACCGTTACGGGCAGCACGTGGCGACGAAGGACCTCGCCTCGGATAAGACGAGATATACTTTCCTCTACTCTAAAAACACGAGTTTCGGGAAGCTCTCCACCGTAACCGACAGTTCGGGCAATAAAATACAGTTCTTAAGAGATTACAACAACGCCGTCAGTTCCATTGAGAACACACAGGACCACAAATCGGAACTGAAAATGTCCGGAGTCGGATACTTGGTTAAATTGAGCGAGAAGGGGCGATCGGAGATAGAGCTGGATTACGATATGAACACGGGGCTGCTCACCAGTCGGTCTAGTGTAAGTATCTTAATATTGGAGTAATGAATATACTTTTTAGATGTTGTTATCTATGATTGTTGTTGCCTTGTACTCACCACAGCCACTCGAGAAGTTTATAAATTAATCTTTCTGTCTGTTCTGTGCGTATTTAATTGTATGACTAGTTCAATTTTGAAAATATCAAATCAGTGATAGAATTGATATATGTATTTACAATATCTTGTAGAACCGCAAGCTAAGTACAATAATTAAACAATTTCCGAGCTAGTTGCCACGTCATCGGTTCAGATTTATTGACATTTCGAGAGACACATCGCTCTCATTGTTCATTTGCCTTCAAAAGAACCTCTGAAAATGTTAGAAATCACTTAATTATGGCATTCTGGTTTTTGATTTTTATTGATTTCTGGATTTCAATTGATTCTGTGATATTGGTCAAATCTCACGGGAATAATACTGTTTTCTCAAGACAGCATATCTACTCATATAAAGTAGATAGGTTGCTGCCAGATATTCCTCCCTTTTCCTATTTTTAGGTACCCTTGTGGATTATTTAACATTTTTTGTTAGTACATACATTTCCTGTGAGAGGTAAGAAAAGCAATTTCCCCTTTTTGGTTCGCCAACGTGCTGGCGATACCTGCCTTGTTCCTTGGCCAAATGATTATAGAAATTCAAAGTTAATATACATATCCATATAAGTTAGCTTTCAATAAACACTGTGTTTTGCAATGAAACATTACTTATTTACTCCACCGTTTCCCTCCACTTCATGGTGAAGTTGGTGTCGGTTGTATTTCTCTAATTTGGTCTAGAAATCTTTTCTTCTCGAATGCTTTCACATGAATATTTGCCACAGCTGGGAGAAGTCTGCAAACCAAGCTAAAACCATACCAATAAACGTACTTAGATTATTAAATTGTTCATCGTCCACAGTCGCTCACCTTTCTGCATCAAACTTTTCATTTGCTCCAGGGATGTGAAACCTTCATATACCAATACGACTCCCTGGGCAGAGCTACAGGCGTGGTATTACCCAGCGGAGAAACCCTAAGGCTTTCCTCCAAGATATCCAAAACGGAAGGGCTAGACGTTTACGTCAGTCAACCTCCCAGTACACTCAACATAAAAGGAAAGGCCAACAAGCATGTTATAATTCTTAACGGTACGTTTCGATCCAAACGATCACTGAAACCAAAGTATTCTGGCTACTCGCTTTCACTCAATGCAAAATCTATTTTTTAGGTAAAGAAGAAACTGACGCCGTTACGCTAACAAACTCAACGGTCGCGTTAAAAACCCCGTACGACGGCACGATGAAAGTCTCCGCGGTAACGAGACATCCTCTTCTGGAAGCTGCGCTGCCAGTCGAAGCTGAACTACTCCCAATTTGGTCCGAACAGAAAACAACGTTCGGAGACGGAATTCAAAACCACATGACGACCTCTTTCAGCCTGGTAGGAGACGTAAGGAATCCCCAACAGACCCTCTACCGTGAAATTTACGTGAACAGAACCAAGATCTTAGGAATTGAATTCGACCAGTTCACCAGCAAAGAAACGTTCTTTGACCACGATAAGCTTCCTCTGCTGACAATAACTTACGACCCCGCCGGTCTGCCTTTATTATACACACCTTACAACGGGGCCGACGTTTTAAATATAACTTACGACAACTTCAACAGAATCGACGGCTGGAAATGGGGCGTGTCCGAGTTTAAATATAGTTACGACCGGCACGGGCTGCTATCAGAAGTTTCAAGCCCACTGGATGGCACCCAGATGTTCTCCTACGACGATACGAATATGTTGTCGAAAATCACCTTAGCTAGCCAAAGAAGTTTCACTTTAACATACGATGACAACGGTGGACTCAGGCATGTTACGTTACCGAGCGGCACGAAGCATTCTTTCAGCCTCCAACCCTCACTAGGCTTCCTGAGAGCGACCTATACCCCCCCAGGTAGCACGAGATCATACCTCCAACACTTCCTACATTCCGGAAAACTTCTTCAAACTGTCTTCCCAGGAGATGGGGCCAGAATTGTCTACCGTTACTACGACAGTGGTAAACTACAAGAAATCGTTCACGGCGATGGTAAAACTTTATATCAGTATTCAGAAACGTCCGGATTGCCCAGTCAAGTCAACCATGTGGAGCAAGACCTGGAGTACCGATGGGATTATCAATATATCGGTGGTTTGCTCATGGAAGAACGCATAGACTACGGTGCCAAAACTGGACTTAGCAATGCAAAGTTTACTTACGACTACGACAATAATTACAGACTTATCACGGCGCAGGGGAGAATCGGGGGTCAAAATCTGCCGCAGTACAATTTAGCGTACAACTATAAGACTGGCGCTTTGGAAATGATAGGTCCCTTTAAGGTGATCAAGCCAAAACCGAACGAAACGAACGTATTCGACGGCACTGCCCTGTTTTCCAGCAGCACCAATTCTAGATTTTTGGAAACGAAGGTGGCTTTGACCATTCACGGAATGGAGGTTTTCAGGATGGAGTTTAGTCATGATATGCACGGGTAAGTTATAGGAAGTATTTTTCTAATAAAATAAAGTGTACACAGCGCCGGACTGGCCATAGGGAAAAAAGGGAAAATTCCCGATGGGCCGCGGCCCGAAAGGGCCGCTTGACCCGACATTTAATAGATATATTTCATAAATTTGAAACTTTTTTAGAATGGAAAGTTATGTTTTTTTTTGGGACAATTTATTTAAGAGGCATGCAAGTTAAACCACATATCCTTTTGGGATAAAGGAAGTTCATTATTTGCAAAACCGCAAACAGTCGTGAGTTAAACACTAATAGGCAGGGAGAAGCGAGTAATATACAGGGTGTCCGGAAATTATGCGTCTAGACTTCAGGAGGTGATTCCTCACAAAAAATTAGGGTCACAAAGTCCTATAACAATTTTTCGAAAACTCAATATTAACGGATACAGGGTGTCAAAAAAAATTTTTTTAAGTTTTTCTTAGATACCTTTTTTATTTGTGATTTGATTTTTTCCAAGTCTTTCCTATGTGTTATTAGTGCCCTTGTAGATTTATGTTCCAAATATGATACAAATACTCCAGTGCCAAAAGGCCTAACCTGACCTTAATCTTCGATCCATGGCCCACAACTTTTTTGTTTTCACCGCTTTATAAATTTGAACAGCACCATGTTAAAGAGTATCAAAAATTATTTAAAAAAAGTATCTCTTGTTGCGATACAATAAAATGAACCATTTCTGAGAAAACGACTTCAAACATTTTCATGCGTTGAAAACAAAAAAGTTGTGGGCCATAGATCGAAGATTAAGGTCAGGTTGGGCCGTTTGTCACTGGAGTATTTGCATCATAGCTATTTGGAACATAAATCTACAAGGGCACTAGTAATACATAGGAAAGACTTGGAAAAAAATCAAATAAATAAAAAAATTACCTATCTGAGAAACTAAAAAAAAAAATTTTTTTGTGACACCCTGTATCTCCGTTAATATTGAGTTTTCAAAAAATTGTTATAGGACTTTGTGACCCTAATTTTTGTGAGGAATCACCTCCTGAAGTCTTGACGCATAATTTCCGGACACCCTGTATAGTAAAACCTATAGTATCAATAGTTCTTAGATTAAGGCTGTCACATTTTCATGTCTTATTTAATACAGAATACAAAATCGTATTCTATGGTTCAAGCTTGATGGATTTAGAAGTCACTAGTAAAAAGTTACTGAGTAAAGCGCTTAAAAGTAGTCGAATGCAAGGTAAAATTATCTTAAAAGAAATCCTAAACTAATTGATGGATAAAATATATAATACATTTAAAAATTTTCAATCTTCTCAACTTTAGAAAACTCGACATAAATAACGACTATTTCAAAACTGTAAACTAGTAAAACCCGTTTACTTTTTACTATAGCAAGCCAAGTCAGTTTAGAATTTTTTTAGGGCCGCTAGTTTGAAAAATTCCCGGGCCGCTTTCTTCTCCTAGTCCGGCGCTGAGTATACAAATACAACTTTCATAAATTTTACAAGTACAAGCGCAAAATTTCAAATATTGGGATTATTGTAGTATTATTTGCGGTAAAAACTTTCTAACTTTTTGTTGCTGAACCAAATAATTTACAAAAATCGCTTAATTCAATTTTCTCAAGCCATTCGCCGCAAATCAAGTCAACCAACAGTCAAAATCGCATGAGAACAGAATAAAAATAAAATATTGTAATAAGTAAACAAATTTAGGTTATGATCAGTTTGAAAAAACAAAAATTACTTACCGAAAAATGAATCACCTTCATTATTATTCCACATAAATGATGAAACACAAAATAAAAATTAAAAAAACAACGATAACCACACGTTTGACCATCGTCTGTCAAATTACATAAGTTTATAAGTTAGCACTAACCACAAACTACAACGGCCGGCGTCGTCGATGGCGACATGACGAAAACTATTAGTGGCAGTATGAGTATAATTGCTCAGTACGGTAAAACTAACTACATTGTGCAAAAGAATATCTAAATTCTAAAACACGAGAAAACAGTAAACACAATTTTCACACAACACAACAAAACATTCCCGCAAATGACTCGCTCAGGAAATGCGCAACCGTATTACCCACAAAAAAACAATGCGTAACAGTAAGATGAGCCTGCTTGATTCTAGTACATATTACAATTTGGAATATTTGGATAAGTAAATTCCGCCGTTATTAGGCAAAGTTCGCAAATTAAGTGAAATTTTGGACAAAATAATTTATGCAAGTCACGTTAAGTTAAGGATTATATGTACATATAAGTAAAGTAGTAATGTTCATACTTTCATTAAATTTATCACTTTAATTGAATTTTAAATCGTCAGCATAAAAGAAAAAAATTAAAAGCTGCATCAAAAAAATTACCAATTGCAATCCTAGAACAGTAAATACATTTTTTTTAATTAGGAGCTACAGGCTAAGTAGCAACAGAGTTAGTCACAAAAATGTAATTAAATGTGTGTTGTAGGAGAATTTCCCAAACAAGAACTTACACTAAGAATGTCGGTGTAAATACTTACACAAACGTGAAGAACTATACCTGGGACTGTGACGGTCAACTTTTGGGTGTCGAAGCTCAAGAACCGTGGGGCTTCCGGTATGACGACAATGGAAATATGCTTTCCTTAACCTACAGGTAAAATACTAATACTTTTTTAATGCAGACAACATTTATATTCTACTTTTTTAGAGGTAACACAATTCCTATGGAATATAACGTAATGGATAGAATTATCAAATTTGGCGAAGGCCAATACAAATACGACAGTAGGGGATTGGTGATTCAGAATGCCAGGGAGGAAAAATTCCATTACAATTCGAAAGGGTTGCTCGTAAGGGCCACCAAAAGAGGCAGATTTGATGTGCGATATTTCTACGATCACATGGACAGGTATATTGGTGTTCAACGTGTAAGTAACACAAGTAATTCTTACTTTTTTTTAGACTGTCGGCACGAAAAGATAATTTCGGAAATGTGACTCAGTTTTTCTACAACAACGAAAGAAATCCAAGGGAAGTTAGTCAGATTTACTCGCCCAGAGACGGCAAACTTATGTCTCTGGTATACGACAATAGAGGACATTTGATATATGCCCAAGTGTACAGACACAAATATTACGTGGCTAGTGACCAGTGTGGTACGCCAGTCATGATATTCAATCAGTACGGAGAAGGTATTCGGGAAATTATGAGATCTCCGTTTGGACATATCGTTTACGACTCCAACCCGTACCTGTATCTTCCTATAGATTTTTGTGGCGGTATACTGGATCAGGTAAGTCCACATACCAAATTTCAAGAACATTAGTTGAGATTTTAGTTGAACTATCTATTAACAGATGGCGTAATTAAAACGTTTAAGATGTCACCACTGTCAACCAAATTTATTTCACTTTTTGGTGTACTGCGCCATCTAGATCTAAATTGAGGTCATTAATGTTAGAGCTGGGGAGTTTTAAACTAAACACCCTGTAGACAAATCTTAACAAACTTTCTATTTCAGGTCACATCATTAGTGCACATGCCTAACGGTAAAGTGTATGACCCCCTTATTGGCCAGTGGATGTCGCCACTTTGGGAAAACGTATTAGAGCGTGTGCCGACACCAACACAACTGCATCTATATAGATTTAATGGAAACGATCCTATCAATGTCGGAATTGACAGAAATCGACCGAAAGGTAATTTAACCGTCCAAAAACCTCTTTTCCAAAATTTTACACGTAACATTCCAGACCATCTCGACTGGTTAAAGAAAATAGGGCAAGACTTGAAGAGCCTAGCTCCGCAGCTGTTTCCAGACGAACTTCCCGGCGGTCGAGTGCCCCCACTTCTCACTCAGCCTCCAACGTTTTGGAATCCGTCCACAGACACCCTCAGCAGCCAACTCACAATGCAGTCCTCCTCGGTAGAAATCCATTCGGGATTCTTGGCACATTTAAACACCAGAAAGATGCAAACGGCTCCGAACTTGTCGGTATTCTCGAAATCGGCTTTGAAAACGGACGTGATAGACCTGGTGCCTAAGAAAATCGGAGCTTCCTCCGAACCGCCATTCGGAAAAGGAATCGTGGTGTCTCAGACAGGCAGCGGCCAAGCTATCGTTTCGAGCGTACCCGCAGCAAACGCCATATACCGAGACGTGTACACTTCCGTGTTTAACCGATCGTACCTACTTCCGTTCACGTTTGTCGTCCACAGCGCCCAGCAGGACGCTTTTTACTTCGTTAAGGAAGAAACCTGGAAGGCGAACGACGACAAGGGGCAGTTGAAACGCCTGCAGGGTCAGGTTAACACCACCTTCCACGAGATCGCTAGGGAAAACGGGAGCGGGAACAACTATTTCGACGTCAAAATTCACGGATCCAACGCCGTGATCAACTTGAGATACGGAACGACCGTGGAGAAGGAAAAGCAGAGGCTGCTCCACCACGCGAAACTGTCGGTTATCAGGAAAGCCTGGCACAAGGAGAAGGAGTCTTACAAAAACGGCTTTTTCGGCAGCGTGGAATGGAGCACCAACGAAATCGAGGAGCTTTCCAAGATGGGGTACGTCAGTAACTACGAGGGCGAGTACATCCACGACGTCCAGCAGTACCCGGAGCTGGCCGAGGATCCGTACAACATCAAGTTCGCCAAGAAGCAGGCGGAGTCCTCCAAGAAGCGCAGGAGAAAACGGGAGATCAAAAAGTCCTGCCAAGACCGCTGGTGGTTCACCTTTTCCGAATTGTGCTAGTGATTCAAAAGTAAGAAATTGACTTCAAACAACAATGAAACTATTCAATTACCTAAGTGTGATGTACCAAAAAAAAAAAATTTGAAAAGCTTACAGTGTAAGTCTTTTTATACCAGAAACCAAAGTCTATTTGTGTAAGAATTTCAAAGATGCCAAAAATGTATATTATTTATTTACAATATGTTACCTATATGTATGTGATTTCGATTTGGTATGAATTTTACACGATCAACTGTTTTTATATACATTGATTCTCATATGACTGATTATTGATTTGCAAAATTTATATCAAATCAGGTTTGTAAATATATTTGCATAATTATTATAATAGAAATAAAATTAACGTGAATGGAATAGTAACTAATCTTGTTCCAGTCTTTTCAAGAAACATTTCAAGGTCTCCATTTTTATTACTACGCAACCCCCGACTCTTTCGATAACACAAATATATCTTTAAAATGTGTTTTTATCATCGCAGGCGTAGAATTACAAGCTACGGCACCGTTAAAAGGCAAAAATTTATTTATTCGTTAAATCTATTTTGTTCCGTTATAAAAACATTTGAAAATGGAAAACAATATATACAGTGTGATTAAACCGTAGGAGGTGCAAAAAAGATTAAAGAAATCTACAGGGTGGGCAGTTTCACATTTTTGGAAGGTTTATCGTGCTTCCAGAGACGGATGAAAATTAAAAATGGCTCAGGTTTAGTTTTCGATAAAAATAAAACGCCCTGTATTTTTCGATTTTTCAAATTTCAAAGGTATAGTACCTAATTGTAATTCTACTGTTTTATGATTAAGTGTGATGTGGATAGATCTCACAAATTTATCAAAAATAAGAACACATGACACACGCGAGTGTATCATAAAACAGTTTAATTACAGAAAAATGTTTTTTACACAAATTTCAAAAATCAAAAAAATCTCGCGTAAATATAGGGTGTCCCAAAAATAAGTAAGCTTTTATCCAATACATTTTTTGAAAACTCACATTTTTGTCCGGTATTTTATACCCATTAAAGCAACACCAACTGTCTAAAAAATCACAAAATACATAAGTAACGCATGCGAACTAATTTGTTCCCATTTTTGTGCTTCATTTTATTTATTTTCAATTATTTAACATTTTAAAATACCATTACATTAAAATCTACGAGGTTTTCGAGAAAAATGATTGACAAGTTAAATGCATTGTTAAAATTTTGGCACCTATTTTTAGGACATCCTGTATGTATTCATAATATTCAAAAATTGATCATACGATAAAAAAATGTTTATTTTAAAATTAAAAAAACAGAAGCTATGAAAAATATCATGTACACCACTGGATTCTGTCTAAAAAATGGGTGGAAAACAAATAATTCACAAAAGTTATTTGATATCACACAAAAACGAATATCACGTATCTCTCGCATTGATATTCAAACAAATTTTTGGCTATTTTTTTCAGAAAATAAATCTCCAAAACTTGTTGAGGTTGGCGCACCCTGAGACTGAGACAGTCAGTGTTATAATGATAACAGTCCTGATCTTTTAATTTTTTAAATCTTGAACAAAAAAACGTATAATTTTTTATACTTCCTTTTTAAAAAGAAACAATATCATTTCTATAGACCAAATCGGCATATCTTCATTTATATTGTGTGACCTTATCAGTATCACTGTCCAAAATCTGTTATTTTCCATAGCTTTACCAATTTTTACAAATTTCATATTGGATTTTGGTGTATAACACGGTCCTTACTCCATAAACTTTTTTTGGGACACAAAATCTGAATGATTTTTTTTTATAAACACATTATGTCCTAGATGCACTTGCTGAAACCAAATACAATGATCAAGGCTTGCTGTGTTTTCCTTACAAGCAATTTTAGAAATATTGTTAGATTTTTTTATATTAACAGATAATCTTAATCCTTTTTTAACTCAAATTTCATAAGTTCATAATACAGAAAAAATTTTTAAACATCCTTCAAATGTTTGAATTTGTAGTTTGTTTTAATTTAAAAATTTAGAAGGCTGTGGTGAATAATTATTCACTATTTCCACAATTTTGGGGCTTTGGGCAATTCTCAGGCTTTCCAATGCCTTCTAGATTTTTAAAACTGAGACGAAAACAATAAATTTAAAATCTTAGCAAGTATATGGTTTCAAGCGATGCCGAGGAAGACTGCATAAACAAATTTTTAATTAAAAAATCGTAATTTTCCAAAAAATCATTTCAGGAAAATCACAGCAGGCCGTGGATTGCCTACTGCATCATTGTGACTGGTTCAGCAAGTAAATCTAGAGAGTCGGATATGTACAAAACAATTCATATAGTGAGTCCCACCCACTGTGTCATGATTAGATTTTTTGTTTCTCGGTAGTGGAAAATGCATGATTGTGTGTATACAAAGCATTTTGACTACTTTTGTCATCGACGTCGTACATTAATGGTAACGTAGAACGATAATAAATTTTCAGTAACGTATTTCAAATGTTTCTTGAAAAAATTAATGAAACCGATAAAGCTGCAACTAGCCAAAGATAAATCGAATGAATGATATGATCACTAGAGGTATCAAAAAAAATTGTAAATATAGTCCAGTTATTACCTTTTTAATAATTTAAAATTAAAAGAACGAATTTATCTTAGATAGGGAGAATAAAATTATTAATCATATATGTTGTATTGCTTTACTCAATTACCAATATATCATTGTGACTGATCTATGTTTAAAAAGTATATAAAATAGAAGAACTTTATCTGCTATGTACCTTGCAAGTTTGTCACATCACAAATTTTTATTTTATTACCTATAATGAAAAATATATATTTTCACTCTAACGCCTGCCACATAGTATATCCATTCTGTGTGCTCCTTGTTACTTATTGGAAATAAAAATAACCGTCGGGTCCATGTTTGGTTAGTTTCCAATATTCAGATCGAAATGGGAACGCTCTATCGAAAACGAATCGGCCCAATTTTACAGGCAGAGGCAATAAACTGAAGAGATTTGTAACTTAACTAGATATGGAACCGCGCTATACCACGAATGTAATGATTTGAATGTTATATGTTGTCTACAGGTCTATAATATTGCTGGTAATTGTTTATACTCGATATGCTGTTCCTTCTATTTGTAACTCAGATACATTTATTTATTTGTACAGTATTTTTATTTATACATTAACTGCTAAATAAATTTATATTATTTTATTAAGATAATCTAAGTATTATAAATGTTTTTTGAAATAAAGAGATTGTTTTTTAATAGCCGTGTTTATTTTCTTGTCATTCAAACTCCAGATGCTGAAGTAGCAGGCAATAGTCACATAAATCAAACAACAATTTTTATTGCTTCTTAATCTACCAAAACAATACTGTAATGTGCTATTCATTTCGCATAGTGTTCCGATATTTTATTTAACCTGCGCGCGCGCGCATTGGAGTGTTCTATTGTTACAAGCGCCTAAAAAGACAATAGAATAGAAATCTATCCTTGCAAAAAAGAAAATTTACTATCTCGACGAAACATGGACCTTCCAGGGTTGACTTAAACATCAACAGTAAACGAGAAGCATTTTCTTCAGTTCCCATATACACAAATTGGAATTGAACAGCAAATTACCACGAGGATAGTGGAGTATGTGACAAATATATTGCATCTATTTGGCCTCACACTAAATCTACTGTAGTGATTGTCATGGATAATGCCTCTTATCATAGGTCCATGAATAGAAAAAATTACCAACAAAAGGAGAAATCTTGGAATGGTTGAATGGAGAACATATGGAATGTAAGAACACGGTGTTAAAAGTACAATTAATAACTGTTCTGTATTTAAGAATTTTCAGAACCCTCTAGAATGATACGCCCATGGAATTTGCCGCACGCCTCACCTTTCGCACATATTAACATGTTGAGAATGAACCACGGGCTATTAATTTGGCACAGTGGTATAATGCTGTTATTACTTATTGGTCGATGCAATTCATACGTATTCTAACCTCAATTTCGGATATTGTCACTGTCAATTGTCAAGGAAGGTGCAATAAAAACACTTTTTTGAGATACTTTTTATTACAAATGTCAAAGTTAGATCAAGAAAATATGTTCTATACAAAAATAATTACAAAATAAATAATACATAGGTATTCAGTGACCGAAATAAAAAAACTAAATCATTTTAGCTAGAACAAAATATAAATCCCGTGGACGTCTTGGTTTGAGCCTCTCGTGTCAGACACCAATTCAGGTTATAACAAATTTAAACATTTATTAAGCAATATTGAAAGAAGAACGAGCCTATCCCCAAGAACTCTCGTCGATATGTATGGGCAAACATTATAGTCGATATAAAAATTTTGCCTAATTTTCACCTAATTCAAAGATTAATTAATTTATTGCTTACAATTAATGATCCCTGTAAAACATTTCACATATTTTTATTCTGATAATATGTTTCTAAAACGACTAGCAAAAGGTACAGTCTCACTTCTGTCGATTTGGGACGCTAAAAACAAAACCTGACTAAATTATTTACTATTTTTCAACAAAAAAACAACTATATTTTCCATCTCTTTTTGGATAAACAAAACGACAGGGTCTTTTAATATTGTCTATCGATTATCAACAAACTTCAATAATTAAAAACATTTTTTCTGGTTTCATTAATAAATACAATAACATTAACAAACTATACACTATATTTTTCAAAATATACAAAAATATTCAATTTCTATTTGAAGTAAAGTTTCCAGGTATTATTTAATTATTAATCCAAAAGGTATCCTGAATTTCATCCGCAAAAATGCAGGAATCGACAGAGAACACATTTTTTTTTAAATATAGGGTTGTAAGTTTAAAAAAACCTCTAAAGTTTCTCTGAATTGAAACAAAAAAATGCACATATGGAACAAACAGATTTTTTTGCTTTTATGACATAAATTACCAATTTGTAAAGAAGCGTTTAGGTAAATTTAAAATTATACAGGGTGTTACCTAACATGTCAAAAACGAAAAAGCATTTAAATAAATTCTACATTTATTTAAATGTATCATCGCTACAAATTATTAATTTGTTTGGTAAAAGCTATGCAAAAAAATCAAGGCGTCTTGGTTAAAAAAAAATTGCATTTCAATTGACAATTTTTTTTTCAATTTTTTTTTTTTTTTTTCAGTAGCAATGCTACAATTTTATACCACTAGACTTGAGACTTAAATTATTAATATTGAATGTCATTTTATCGCATATTCTATACCTTCATTTGTTCTGAAGATATTTATAAATATACATATTTTTTTAAAGTTCCCGTATCTCAAAAATTTCAAGTTTCGAAAAAAATTTGTATGGCAAAATGTCATAATTTTCACTTTTCTATGGCTTCCTCCTATATTTTCACGGATAAAATCCAGGAATCTGCTGTATTTTCGTTGAAACAAAACTATTTCCATTTGATAATTTTAAAACTTTAAGGTCTGTTCACTTCTTTAGATAAAATCAGCCAGCAACTTCACAAACACAGGGATACAAAACGGTTCAAAATTGACTATACATTAAAACGTAATACCTGATATAACAACGACTATTTATTTACTTCACCTTTAATAAAACCAACGAAAATTATGAACAACACTGACGTATTCCAAACTAAACCTACATTGATCCATATTATTATTTTTTTAACAGCCACTTTGAGTTTGGTTTTACTACGCTTTGATGAACAACGCGAAACGTGATTGCAATTGTCAGGAATAATTATTTTTAAAAAAAAAATAGCTGGACAAGACTTTCGCATTTCTGATTGTCCGGTGAGGATCTTTCTCCGACGAATCCGTTGTTACTTTTCAAAAACGTCGCCTTAAAATTACGGTACTATTTATACTAGTGAAGAAGCTGTACTTAAAAAATAAGACTGTGGTCTACTTGATATAAGAAATAAATTAATACAGTTTACGTTTTAAATTCGCACTATTTAAGAAAAGTAACGTTCGTATGTTTACAATCTACTCGAAAATTTATAAGCAACGTCGAGGTTAGGTGATGTCGAATCTGTATTTTATAAATAAATTTTATCACACTTTAAGGTTTACAGTTAAACAGCTGTAAGAAATTTCGAAAGAATTAATTTGTTCTATCTAGTCTGTATAACTTTTAGAGGTTAGGTTTGAGTAGGTTATGTTTGGTTTAGATTAGATGAGGTTAGGTTCCAAAATAGGACCCAAAGGCAAAGTTGCTATAAATTTTTGAGCAGCTTCAGTCGAACTCCACTACGCTGGAGCTACAGATAGTACCTCACCAAACAGACCAAATATGCGATAACACAACGCTAATAAACTAAGTAATTGTAGTAATTGTATACAGCTGCAAACATTTGAATGTGTATGTAAGTCGAAGCGATAAAAAACACGTGTAAGATCAGAAACCTCAAATAGTCCTGCAGTACGACTTTCGGGGGGCACATCTCGTTATGGCAAAATTCACTAGAAAACTCACCGGTCTTATAAAAATGCTCGAGCATCTTCTCTTTCTCTTCCCAACGTTTGATGAGCCACTTGGTCATGGTGTCCGAATCGTCGGGAACTTCACTGAAAGAATACAACCGATAAAAGATGACCGTTTGGCAAGGATCGCGGTGGCCGAACACTATGTGACTTAGATCTATGGGCCATCCGTTCGGGTAAGCGATTGTAATGTCCAGTACCCACTGAATTTTCGTACATACTGCTACCTGATCTACGACGCAAAAAAGTACATATTAACACTCGAAAACTTTATAAACGTCAGTTAAACTTACTGTTAACGGAATTACAGTTATTGTTTAGCGCTGACTTAGGTCCGAGCATGTTCATTATGATTTGCATCGCTCCTACTCTAGGTAACGATACGTTCTCGAATTTGGGCAAGTTCATCTTCTCGGCATACCTGTGGGATATAGCTTTCCTCTTCCTCAGAAAGCCACCTTCAGGGAACAACACCAACCACTTCCTGCCTAGCGGCAGATACGCGTCTAGTATATGCTGTGCCAGTGCTTGAAGGGACTTATCCCTTTTGTCTTTGCCCTAAAATGAAAATTGACCCTAAACCAGAGGATTAAAAATTTTTTAAAAGCCGACTGTTTCATAAGCAAACATATTTTAGCAAAAAAATATCGCTTCTCGAGAATTAATCAAACACTTTCTCAACTATGAAGAAATTCAATAAAATTTACAAGAGTTACATATTTTCTAAATTTTCAAACAGTCGCTGAACTCAAACTAACGACTGTCGTTAATTTTGTAGGTAAAAATCTTCATCTGATAATTAAACTGTAGCAGGAAACACAAAAGATGATTTAGTTGTAATAACAACCACACTTGATTATTACAATTTTACCCACACTAGACTAATACGGAAATACAAGAAACTTTCAGATAAACAAGAATGACAGTTAAGAAATAACTAAATTTATCGTGAGTATTGTGAAACAAAAAATAACCAACAGAAGACTAGTGAAACTGTTAATCAGCTTCTTTCTTGCATTTCTCCTCTTTACTCAAGCATATTTCTACCAAATATTCGGTGATATTAATAAAAAAAAAATGTAACTTGTAGATATGCTGTATGTTAACTTTGAATTTCAAATATTATATGAACAGGTAAATATAAAATATAAACAAATATTACAATTTTTGTCTTTATTGGCCTAGCAGTGCAGTGCAGCAATGCGGAATTTGGAATTTATTATAGGCACTGTGAAAGGGAGAAATAATAGGGATATTTTGTTTAGTAATATTATTACAGCATGGCATTTTGGAGACCTTTTGAAACGGAACAAGACGAAATTTACCATCAATATAATAAAATTGTTTGAGGACATAAATAATTAAAATATGCTGTTAGTCAAATGAACATATAACAGAAATTTTTCACACATTATATACAAATTATTAGAATTTTTTACCTTTTTAGGGACTTTTTTAAGGACGCCTATGAATGTCATTAAATTTTATTGCTAGGCGTTTTTATACATGTCAATTGACTTCAGAAAGACTATACCACACATTTAAAAAGTTAATTAGGCAAACTATGTATTGTTTTTATGGCATACAATGTACAGCCAGTGCGATAAAAAATTATACGGTCCAATCAAGTTAACTTAATCACAGACTACTTACCGACATGATAAAAAAATCCTTATGCAATACGCTGACTACTCCGAAATTCGTGTACTTAAATAAACTATCCATGATCCACATGATATTTGGTAAAACTTGCTTTTTCGGGTTGAAACAAGCGAATAGTAAAGGCACATCTGCCGTCGACTGGTGATTGGCTATTATTAAGGTACGGTCGTCCAGACACTCCGTTATATCATCCCCTACCTCCACAACTAAAAAAAATAATGATGTCAATTCAATAATATCCAAAAAATAATGCAATAAACCTAAAGACATTTGTGGGCAAATATTTTCGATTATGAATTTTTGAGAAATGTAAAATTATACAAATCAATCAAAAAAATTAAACAATTATTTATATATTTTGACGAGTATTACAGGTCCTCGAAGAAATGTCTATTTTTTTTGACACCCTGTATACTTAGAGCCAAACAGATTCGATTACTTGCTAGCATTTTCTCTGCGTCCAGAACGAATATAAGACAAATAGGGACTTACTATCATAGCCTGCCGAGTAGCTCCACAGGGATACCATGGCCAGTAACCAGTGGAAAAAATACCCCTCTATCCTCCAGTAAATGTCAGGGTTAACTTTTCTAAGGGGCGACAAGAGAAACATCCATATAACGTACGTAGGAATACAGTACACATTATTTAATAAAATAAAACACAGCCTCAAGATTCCCTTTGGTATTGTGTACCAATTCCTAAAACAAAAAAATATTTTCCGTACAATGATTCACAAAATAAACGCTACAGTATAACAGAACAACAAATATCTACTGCACAAAGGAGAAAACACTGATCAAAATTTATATTTTAACATAATTACTATACAATAGAAAAGGTGAGCCAAAGCGTTCGCTTAGTGTAAATGCACCTTAAGATGTAACTTTTCTAGGTCCAGCTTCGCTCACATCGCTTTCTGTTAGGTAAAAATTATTAAATTATTTAAAAGAATGAAAGGAAAGTTCTAAACGAAAGACGTGAGAATTACTAATAAATTAACGTGTGAGCATATCTGTCCATCAAATCAACCTCTAAATAGCAGCGCACCTAAATATAAATACGTATATTAAAACCCCAAATCATTACAATGCAGAAACGTTACTACCACTTTTCCTTGACATTTTCAAACCGGATAAAGTGGTGATTAAACAGCGTCCCAAATAAATTCAAATGGAAAATAATAAGCAAAATTAATTAACATGCCGTATGATCCACACCGCGTGCGACCTTCATCGATGACTAAGCAACTCAGCCGAAATTTATTTATTTAGCAAATTGAGACTAATCCGCGCCGTACCTAGAGTAAATTGTGATTGCGTTATAATTCCGCCCTAGAAATATCTAATTTGAGTATTGACTAGGGATGGGCAAAAATAACCGGTTAAATGAATAACCGATTATTGTGTGTCGGTTAACCGGTCAAAAACCGGTTATTTCCCGACTTCGGTTTAACCTGATAACCGATTATTTATGTCAAAAACCGCGTGCCGGTTATTTTACCGGGACCGAGTGAAAATTTTAGCTCTAGCTCACTGTACGATTAAAATATATTGTGCTCTATCCCTAAACTTGATAGTAGATCAGACCACAGCATAGATAAAATAAATAAATATTTATTTTGCTGTGATCAGACTTAAGCCATCGTCGGCCGGACATTCTATTTAGGGTAAAACCGATTGATCTGTGGGTCGGACTACGCTAATTAGGCTTCCTTGACGGGACAAAACATATTGGTCATTATGAAGTGTCAAAATAACAATAAATTTCAGCTGTCAAATGAATGTTTTATTTCTCCTCGACATGAAAACCTAACCATTTGATAAAGTTTTAAAAAATAAATATAAGCATTGCTTGGTGTTTGAATAAAAGTAAAAAAATATAAATTTTTAAATCAGATGCATGACTACACAATTTTTTAATACAGAGATAAATTAGAGCACTCACAAAAATTTAAAAGGGCCGGTTATTTCAATAACCGGTTTTTAGGTAGAGGTTAACCGATTCAGGATTAACCGACTAAGAAAAATAACCGGTTAACCGATAACCGGTTATTTTTCAATAACCGCCCATCCCTAGTATTGACACGAGAGGTTAATCATATGGGTTCAAAGAACATTGGAAAAGTTATTCAGGTTATGTAAATAAAGAATAATTATTGTTAAAAGACATGATAATAGCAAGTAAACAAATAACTGGAGCTTGTGGTATAACATAAATGCGTATCGGGCACAGAAAAAATTGATATTCAAACAACGAAATTATAACATGTAACATTTACTATTGTAAAACATACAAACAGAATTAAAGGCGAGAGGAGAGTTAGATAAATAATAATCTATGAGGAATTAATAAATTGGACTTATATTATGGAAATTAGACGGATATTACTGAGCAGTGTTTGTGAAACATTGATTTTTTTATTTGTAACTATCGATGTATGTATATGGAAATTTTTTTTTTCGATAACCGGTCGACATCAAGATTTTTTTATATATGTAAACATTTTTTTAATTCTGGTTATTACCTAAAATATAATTCTGCTATCCTTTATGAAACCATTAATCAGTACTTAGTGATCACAAATTTGAAAGGGCAGGATGGAAAATATGTCTTAGGTTATATTAATGACATTATTAAGCTGACCTTATGTTTACTAGACAGGGCTGTAGTCCGCAGAGTAGTTGCTTCAAACAACGTAATTAGTTAAAATTATTATACCTAGGCATATTTCGAAAAACACTACGCTCGCCTTGAAGCTTTAATTTCAATCAAACAAAATACATAACTAGCAAGATATCTAGACAGTAGACAATATAATTTATGTCGGCAACCCGTGTCTTGTTAAGCCCTTGGATTATGCGTTCAAGATAATTTTTACGCTTTTCTCAATGCCAGTTTTTTAAATTATTACATATGACTAAACCTAAAGATAAATAAGGTAGATATATTTTTTAAACATAAAACGTCATTATCGTTGCATGAATTCATAATAACAAATATTCTGGTTAAATTACCTTTACAATACATATAACTAGGTAATTTTATCGAGGTTACTGTGTAATAATCTTACTGTAAATCAATGACTAGGTATATTACGTATGACTAAGCATAACCTGATAAGTAATCGCACCTCGATTGTATTTATAAATATTTAATTAGTGATTTCTCAAAATTGTTGAACGATCGGTAACGCTAATATCGGCTAGATTTAGGTTTAGGGGAATCAATGGATTGGACCCCTTGTTGTAGCGCAAATACATGCAAATACACAGGATTTATTGATTATGTAAGGGTTCTCACCTGCGTGTTTCTTAATTGTGAAAATCATCAACGTAGAGAAAACCGTCCATGTTTACTTAATTAACGAAGAAAATGATGCGTGACTATTTATTAACAAACTTGTTTGTAATATAAAATAGAAACTCAAATCTCGTTTCATAAAATTTAGAAGAGCAGTGTAGGAAATTTAAATTCCTAAACTAAAGCGGATTAAAATTTTCATTTTATAAAATTCGATTTCTGTAGTCAGTGTTTTTTATTTTCTTGCGTTGATAAATTGATTATAAATTTGATTTTCGATTCTTTTTTAAGCCGCCTCAGTTTAAAAATTATAGTATAGTATAAATATATAGTATAGTAATTATACAAATTTTGAGCATAAAAATATATAAATTTCTCCTTCAAATACTCAAGTAAGAGATAAAAATGTTTCATCTCAAATTTTATCGCCCCTGCTAGACATAACAAGATTATGAAAATATGTATATATCACATTTATTACGTAATGGAAACACTATAGAAAATCTACCCGTAACCTTACCCTTAAGAAAAATCAAAACAAAAAGTGCATTCAGTCAACTGTAGTACAAATTAGGTAAATAATAAAATATTTTTTTAACAAAGGTTTCAGCGGCATTGAAAATATAAATTAAACCGCATACTTATCTCAAATAATCAAGATTAATTATGATTTTATTTAAAATGCTATTAAAACAACTTATTACTTGAAATCAATTCTATTTTAATAGAAAATAAAAATTATTTGAGGTTTGTTTATGTCGATGTTTGATCAATGTTTTCCCTTTTTCCTTAACATGAATGAATTACCACTGTTTACACCAAGAATACACGACTATTTCCAGTGATAATTGAGGTGATAATCACGGAAATAATTACAAAAATTACATAATTGCAATGCAACGTATGACCGAGTATAAAATTAGGTTACATTATTATTCATCATAATACTTACCTTAACAAATTTCTGATGTTATCCATTTTTATCAAGATTTATTTTTTTCGTTACTGTTCATAACTCAATAATTACGTCACCAATATATGTCTTCAACTAACAAAAAAACACTTTTATGACATTATGACCAAGAAAAAAATCGATAATTTTCCCGCACAGGAAGAAAAATTAAACATTAATGTCACTGTTTTTCCTGCACCAACATTTTAGATAAAAGAGAGATAATTTTCATCTGGTAAAGTTAAGGGAAGTACTTATACAAAATTATGTGAAATTTTGATATTTACTGATTCCAGATAAGTTATCTTTGCTAATTATTACCTTGGCACTTTTACCGATTATATGTCCTAAAGTTAAAGCTGTATTTATACATAGTTACTAAATGAATCAGAAGCCGAATAATGTTACTGAAAATAATTTCACAACCGTTTTGACATTAAAAGCAACAGGAGCAACAGTAACCAAATGACAAAACGATACTGCCAGAAAACATAATTCTTCTTCTTCGTTATTCACCTAATGTCAAGAAATGTCAAAACCAGGGATTCTTTAGAATCTTTAGGTAAGTTCGATATTAACATCATGGTGCTCCTCATATTTTTTATCCTTTTTTAGTTACAATAGATAAAAAGGCAAAGATATCATGGAAAGATGTATCTAGTTGTTAAAATCGAACGCACTGTAATACTGATTGAATCATTCATTCAATTATTCAGTTCAGAAAAGTTTAGGCTGTCAGCATCGAGAGGACATCCATAGAAAATTTAATTCTTGTATACTAATTTCTCTATGTAGGACATCTTAGTCAACGCTGTCTACCTAAGGGTAGGATGACACTATAGCAACATACTTATGCTAGAATTTTACGTACCTTAGTAGATTTGTCAGACTAAAAAACGATATAATAGTGTATCATTTACTTGTATGCATATTAACAAGGGATTATTTGAGGTCTCAGGTAAATAAAATACAGCTAATAGAGTTTTTGTTTTTTCTTCTTCAACCGATTTTGTCATCACTTACCCATTCTCTAAATATATTTACAATCTTGGAGCAGCAAAAGGAACACACATAATGAAACAATATAATATGTGGAAAATGGAACACACCTTGCTCTGAGGCTTTAGAATCGATAAAACAGAAAACGTTATAGTCAAAAATTGACATTCCACATGGTAACACCTGACACTGACAGTAGTGACAGTGACGTGTTGTCTTTAGTTGAATAGTGTAATTGTCGAATATGTTGGATTTATTTACAATTTTTAGTAAAGGAGGTATCGTTTTATGGTGCTTCCAAACTACCAATCAAATATTTACCCCCTCCGTAAATGCTTTAATTAGAAATGTAATTTTACAGGTAATAAACAATCATTTGTTATAAATTTGATTTTCAATATTGTAACAAAATCATTCACTTAATTATAAATTCTAATTAGACAGATTAATTCAAGCACACCTTTATCTGCAGGAGAGGACGGGAATAAATACATTTGACCATAATGGATTATCCCTTCAGTATAAACTAGATAATGAATTTGATTTGGTTTTTGTGGTGGCATATCAGAAAATATTACAGCTGTCTTATGTGGACAAGTTTCTGAACGATATACACTTGGAGTTCAGGGATAAATACAAAAATGAATTGGCTGATGGAAAATACTTTTTGGATTATGATTTTATGGATATGTATAACTCCACTTTGCAGGCTGCCGAGCAGTGGTCAAAGCTGCAGGCTAAACTGCCCAAGCAGATGAGAACTTTCGAGGAATCTGTAAAATCAAAGAAAACTGTAGCTTCTATGATAGAAAGAAAAGGCGAAGAGAAGCCTGTAAAGGCTTCTAAGAAAAAGGAAGTGAATTTTGCAGATGAAGGTACATATCATTAATATCTTACAATTACTTTTTTTTAAAAAACAACACTTATTCTGTAGCAAAAACATCCCCTCCTTCATCTCCAAAAGCCGAAGAGAACGGGCTTATTGACGAAGACACGTTAGCAGCAAATAGAGCTAAACTTGCAAAAAAATTACAAAAAAAGAAACCAGAAGTAAAGTAAGTTATCTTGTAAACGATCCATTCTCATTACTTATGTAAAATTTTTTATAGGAAAAGTCCGAAGAGTCCTCCGTCGGAAAAAGCTGGTAAAAAGCCGAGGGTTTGGGATTTAGGAGGTACTAATAAGGATCTCCAGAATTTGGAAAGGACCATGGGTAAACCAGAGGATATGAAGAGCCACTTTACTCCCGACACTGAGGTACCAAAAAAAAATGAAATGTGTTATTCTTCTTATGATAAAAGCTGCGTTGGTACATTCTTTAAATTTTTCTTATAATTCTGATAATTTTAGTTACCGCAATGTTTTAATGATTTTGAAAATAGATAACCGCTATCCAAAATCTCTGGTTACTAAAATTTGTATACTTAGAATGAATATTTTAAAGAAAACTTTTTATTTTTAAATTTTAAGATTATATGAGCCCAGTTAGAGAAATTTTGCAATGTCACAATATAAAAAAACAATATTTTTGTAGATTGTGGGTCAAATGAAAGGAGTTATCAAAGATTTAGAGGTAGAATCTAGCGACGAGGAATACGAGGAGGAAGAAGAGGTGGAAGTCCAGCAAAAGACGGCCAAACCTTCCAGGGGTGGGATGTTTTCTTTACTCAAAGGCTTAGTGGGATCTAAAAATCTCACTGCTTCCGACATGCAACCGGTTCTAGACAAGATGAAGGACCATCTGATCACCAAGAACGTGGCTGCCGACATAGCCATGAAATTGTGCGAATCGGTAGCAGCAAAACTAGAAGGGAAAGTCCTGGGGACTTTCGACAGTGTAGCCTCCACAGTAAGAAACACCCTTACGGAATCCTTGGTGCAAATATTGAGCCCGAAGAGACGCGTCGATATTTTACGTGACTGCATCGAGGCGCAGAAGCAAAGCAAACCTTACGTTATGATTTTTTGTGGGGTAAGAATAAAGAATCACTTATTTTGTGTAATTCTCTTGATTGAAATCGTTTAATTTAGGTGAACGGGGTAGGTAAGTCCACAAATTTAGCGAAAATTTGCTTCTGGTTAATAGAAAACAATATGAGAGTTCTGATTGCTGCGTGTGATACTTTCCGAGCCGGTGCCGTAGAACAACTTCGAACCCATATGAAACATTTGAATGCTTTGCATCCTCCGGAAAAGCACGGGGACCGTCAAATGGTCCAACTCTATGAAAAGGGGTACGGGAAAGATGCCGCCGGAATAGCGATGGAGGCTATTAGGTTCGCGAGAGAGTCTAAAATAGATGTGGTTTTGGTCGACACTGCCGGCAGAATGCAGGTAAGGTTCTCTATTTTAATTTGGACTAAGGTTATGTACGTTTGAGCGAACGTCACGTTACATGAAGTGTAAATCAATGCTGGACAGGGTATGTAGCTCGCAGAGTAGTTGCAACAGTATAGTACTTATGCTGCATTGGCAAGTAAAAAAGTTATTAGGCAAATGTTGCTTTTGTTGAATTAAATATGTGGTTAGAATTTTGGCACCGATTTCTGGGAGATCTTGAATATTTAACATTTTATATTGTTTTATTTTAGGATAATGAACCCTTGATGAGGGCTCTAACTAAGCTAATAAAAGTGAACGAGCCCGATTTGGTTCTTTTTGTTGGAGAAGCTCTAGTGGGAAACGAGGCTGTGGATCAACTTGTTAAATTTAATCAGGCACTGGCCGACTATTCTTCCAACACTAATCCCCATCTCATAGATGGCATTGTATTAACAAAGTTTGACACTATTGATGATAAAGTAAGTACATCCGTTTTTACACTTTTTTTAAGTTTAAGGAGTATTGCTTTTTTATGTTAGTATTTTTTTTTTTTTTTTTGTCTAGGTTGGAGCTGCTATTTCAATGACTTATATCACAGGACAACCTATAGTTTTCGTTGGAACGGGTCAGACTTACACAGATCTAAAAGCATTGAATGCAAAAGCAGTTGTGCATTCTCTTATGAAATGAAAAGAGTTGCCTTATAGGTATCTTAAATCCTGGATTGTACCTAATAGTTGTAATTACCTAGTTTCTTATCTATTGTGGTTGTATTTTTCCAGTTTTTCCTTATAACTACATTTTTATCTTTTTCTCTTGAGGTGTCCGTTTTAAAAATTCATTATTTATATAATTATTACCTATATAATTAAGTTGTTTTATACAATTTTTTGTTAATAAATTACATTCATTATTTTTTACAATAAACTATTTAATTCCATAAATATTTTGCATTTTATTTTCTTCATCACAAAAACATCGAGATTAAAAAAAAGTGTCACTTATATATTAGCCTACGTTACATAGACAGCGAGGTCGTACTTAACCTATAATCATTTTAAAAACAGTACATACCTTCCGCTCCATCTAGAGGTTAAAAATGGAAATGGCATTGAAATTTTACGGTTCTATATTTCAGTGCAGTATGATACAAAATTTTGTAGGGACGACACTGTCTAAATCGCGATAGTGTCGATACCTCTCAATCATAGACCACCTAGACTGGCTTATAGAGCGACTTTGGTGAAAACACTTCGGGGCCCAGCGCTCAGTCGTGTCCTAGCATTTGGTGTGTACGCATCGCTGTGATTTCGATAATTAGACGTTTTATCATGGGCAAGTGTATTGTAAAACATTGTATAAATAGAAGTGATCGAGTTGATGCAGAGAGGCGAAAAGTTTCCTTTAGGTAAGTAAAAAAAAGGAATATATAAAAGGTAAATATGTACGCTATTTTTCGGTTAACGTCACAAGTTTCCAGGGTTAGCTTTATAATTTTGTTCGCCCACATAGTGTAGTGATTAACGTGATATTGTTATTATAAAATAATGAATGAATTACTGTAAAATATTTTTAGTAATTATTTACTTTACGCGAGTCTTAAATTTTTATGAAATTTTACCAATTCCCGTCATTTCGAGATAGCTAAAAATTAATTAAATATTTTGTTCAATTAAAAAAATTGCAAACAAAACTAATTTCAGATTCAGTATTCGTAGTCAATTAATTTTTATTCAAGATCGTGGTTGTTTGACGTATCCATCTCGAGATGTAGTAATATTCTAAGAAGCAGAAAAATTAATAAAATATTTAAATAATGATGAAAGCAGAACACCTAGGCTACAGAAAAATAAAATTGTTTATCATGTATTAAAAAACTTTCTGAATGTGAACATATTTGAAAATTTGCATGAACATCAATTTGATAATTTGCCTAACAATTGTAATCATTTAATAGAACTTGTAAGGGCTGAATGTGAAAAGTATATCGATGTACGAATAAATCATGAAGTCAAATTATTTAATTCGGTAAAATCTACGAAAAGGCAAATATTAAATAAATTAAT